GTGATATATATCACCAGGGGGTCTGGCTTAAAAGGGCTTGTCTCACTAGCAGACCCGTTCTGCTAGACTTCGTGTCTGTGAAGATCTTTTGAGTTCTGTATGATAAGCGGCCATGTTGAGTACATCAAAGGCTCTTAAACAGTACTCAATCACAGGAGGTCTCTGCCGCATCCTGTCGTTATCTTACCACTCGTAGATAATAAACAAAGGTTTTGGAGGTAAATGAATAGGTCACTGTTCTCTTTGTAAACATGGGCAGAGTCATGTGATGGCCAGAGTTTGGAGCATTACATTCCACTCCAAGTTACTGCTACAGTTGGTATCACTCAACCTCCCACAGACGCTCCAGCTCCTTATCCATCAATGAGGTGACGTTCCACGTTCCTACAGCGAGCCTATGCCTCCAGAAGTCCTCACTGCCAGGGATCCTCCCTCACCCACTGCCTGGCATGAATTACACCTGACCTTGATGGTCCTCATCTCAGATGGAGGTAGTATCCTGTCTTGTTTTCAGGCTTGGCCCGGCTGAGTCACAGGAGCCAAGGTTCGACCTCCAGGCATTCGCCCTCAAGTCCCCCCTGGTTTCCCTTCTCACGTTGAGGTTTCCTGATGCAACTGTTGTTTTATCCATTAAGGGTTTTGTCTAATTTGGTTTGATTTTGTCTCTCAAAGCCAATGTACCGATACAATTTATCAAATCAACACTTAGTGACTTTTTTTAATCAGACTGTCTGCAGCATATTGTTGTACTCTTCATAAGAGAAGAAGAGTTGGTGGTCAATGAAATGCTGGCCACTTGTGTCTGAAAATTAAAATGACAATACGTCATGTTTAATGTAATGTTTTCTGATGTTTGACACTAGTTAGTCATCACAATTCCCATTACATTCATTTAGTATCTGCATCGGTGATTTCAGTTTCAAAACGTAGAAAATACAACACAGAAAATATAAATAACTTTGTTCCAATGCTTTTATTTTTAATGCTGCTTCTTTACCAGTCTGCACTACACCACATTAAAATGTCTAAATAATTAAATATGTACTGTGCATTCAATGTGGTTCTGAGTTTCACTGGTCTTTCTGCTCAGGAGGAAGAGGAGCAGGAGCTTTAGGACTGAAAGGGTTTGGACTCTGATTCAGTATGTGAGTGTTGAGGATCCTCACACTCTAGTTGTGTTTGTGGTTGAGGTGTGAAGCGTAGATAATTCTTGCCAGAGGGCAATTGTTTCGTGTGGACCCCAGCTGGAAACGAAGCTGCAGCCTCGTCCTCGGTCATGCTGGAAGGCACAATCACACAGTCTCCAGGCTGGAAGAAGCAGCAAAATTAAAATCCTAACACTTCTAAAGTGCTACAGATTGATTCTTGTTTCTTTATTCTGTGCAGCAGTTGATGTGGGACCCACCTCCCAGTCAGCAGGTGTGTTTACTTGTGTCATAGATGTAAGCTGGAGGGAGTCAACCACTCGCAAGATCTCATCAAAACTGCGTCCTGCAGGGTCTGGATACAGGAGGGAGAGTTTAAGTCTTTTGTCTGGACCAATGAGAAACACCTACACCAGGATGAAAAACAGGATGGAAACTTAGGAGACAAAGTTTTCGAGTTTCAGTGGAACAGGTGGAAAAGTTACAGTAAACACATTAGACCCCATCAACAGCTACAACATTAAAACAAATAAAAACCAGCCAGGGCATGGATGGTCTTTGTAGGGTCTTGGTGATGTTTTCAGGTGCACAGGGCGCTGTGGCAGAGTGGTTAGGGGAGTCGTCCTGGAACCGGAAGGTCACTGGTTTGATCCCCCGTTCCAACTGTCTCAGTTGCTGTGTCCTTGGGCAAGACACTTCACCCCTAATGCCTCTGATGTGTGTCCCATCAGTGTATGAATGTGATTGGCACTGATTAGTCTCCATAGATGATTGTACATGTTAGCTTTGTAGAGACCTATTAGAGTGCTGTGTGGATGGGTAAATGAGGACACAGATTGTAGTGTGAAACACTTTGAGTGTCCAGGTTGGGTAGAAAGGTGCTACAAGTATACTCAATTTATCACTATCAGTGGAGGGCAAGGTTCCCTATGTCACACTCCAACACAATGTACACAAAGTCAACATCATCTCATCACTGATGTTGCCTTAGGAAATGGATCACCAAGGAAGAGAGAGGTTACAGCAAGGAGCAATAGGGTGGATGTCGAGGCACAACCAGGGCGCACTGGTGACACTGCTGTGGAACTTGGCATGGGGTTCAGTGTCAGATAAATACCCATCTAAATTTTACTAATGTAGTGGTGTAGTCATATGTTATATGTAGTAGTTTAGTATCCCAAATGCTGTCTAATATAAGCCCCACATCAGTTAACTAGTAGTAGTTAGGTGTAGTTAGATAGCCGTGCCTGAATTGACATTGTGTGCCAGTGCGGGACAGCCGAACCAAGGGTAACGGGGCTTTACATGACTCACCAGCATGTTGTTACCTGGAAGGTCTACAGATCATTAATTAATTAATTATGTATTTATGCATTTTATAATTTAATTACACATTTAATTAATTAATTCTAGATTTCATTATTTAATAATTTTTTTATTTACTGATATAATTAATTATTTATCGTGGCACACAAAATGCACCATAATAAACATGAATATATCTTCAATTATTTCCAAAACATTGTCTGTTTTAAAAGACCCCCCATGAGCCTGAAAGTAAGATGGATGGATGGTCTTCATGCTACTTTCAGCTGTTAGCATTTACAGTAGCTACCAGTTTGTTTCTTTCAGATTTATGAAGTGTTTTGATACTTCTGGCTTTTAGTTACTCCATCCATCCATCCATCCATCGAGTAGGCTATGTATAATCTCTCCATTGAGTTCTAGATGTGCTCCAGGGTTTTTCATGGGACATTTTCAGAAAACCTCCAAAGGGAGGTGTCCAGATGCCCAAACCAACTCAACTGACTCATTTTTTTATGTAAAGGAATAACATATACTCTCAGCCCCCCACCCCCGTGAGAGTTGCAATGTAAATCAAGAACTTTGCTTTTCAAGTCAATTATCACTCTAACTGCAACTTTCTCTTACTACTGAGGATGAGGTCATGATCCATCCATCATTTATTAGCAAAAGCCCCAGGTCCTAAACTTGATGGCACAAAGACCACAGGAACTGAAAGACAAACTGAGCACATTTCTTCACTCTGCTGTTGTCTTTGGTCTCTCTTCTCTACATGTTTATTGTTATTATTTCTATCATGTTTTTTCTTTGTCCTCCAGAAGAAGGCGCACCTGGACCAGTCCTGGACCAGTTCTTCTGTGTTTGTCTGTGTCTCTTTCCTGTCCCTCAACCAGCCAGTCGAGGCAGATGGTCTCCTGTCCTGAGCCTGGTTCTGCTGGAGGT